GTCTGTCACATGTTCCCACAGAGGCCAGCAGTGGTGCACGAGATGTCTACCCAATGCTGTAGGCATGGAACATTCTCTGTGCTTAGCCCAGATATGGAAGTGACCACAAATCCCCTCTCCCATCCCCTCATTCCTTTTCCCCACTGAACCTGATCCAATGCCCTGAGTTCTCAAGAGGCCCTCTAGACTCATGGGTCCTCAGATTTCGGATTCCTTGTAAGTTAACATTGAAACAGTCCTTAAAAAGCGTTGACCCATTCTTAAGGAGTCTGGTGAAGAGGCAGGGCAGTAAGTAGCCTGGCCTATTGGAAAGCACATGGATTTGGCAATGAGAAAACTAACTAACCCTCAACATCCTTATCTGTCAAGTGGAATTAATAATACCTGCCCGGCAGGTTGATGACAGACTCTAATCATATGTGAAGGAAGTACTGGGTAGTGGGTAAAGCTGTTTAATTTGTACTGTGTGGACTGCCCATGCCACAGTCAAAGAAGTTGGGGCTGAAAGGAAGAGAGTGCCCGCATCTCTGTCAGGAGGGTCTTCTTTACTTTCCTCTTGGGTTCCCTTCCCAGGATCTACCTGGGCCAGGTGTTCTATTTAGCACACCCTCACCTACCCTTCCTCTTGGGAAGAATTTATTAGCTTTCAGAAGGTGCACAAAATTAAAAGCATCCTAGAATAGGGGAAAATGTAAGGCCTTGGAGTTAGCCAATCTAGGTTAAATTTTTACTTCACCAGTAAACTGGCAACAATTTTTCCCCCTTGGGACACCAGTTTTCTCACATACAATATTTAGAGAAGATCCATAGAATTTTTATTATAAGCTTTATGCAATATCTGCAATTTTGTCGGCACTCAATGACTTCTGCTATTACCACAAAACAATATAATCTGTTTTGGGAGTGACCTCATTGTTCTGTTGGGTCAGAAGAGATAGAGCTGATAGCCGTGGCCTATCTCTCTGACTGCTTTTACTTGGGTCTCTGAGAAGGCAGGAGCTGAGAAAGTTCTGGGGAAGAGTGTGAGCAAGGGCTGGTCATGGGGTCTGAATTGGCACTGGGGGACAGAGTGTTAGAGGCCGGGGGAAGGAATGAAGTGGACTAAAGACCTCAAAGTGGATTTCTACTCTTTGAAGCTGGGGCTCCTGCTCCCTCATCCTTGAGAAAAGGCCAGCATGTCCTCCACAGTTCTCCAAGGGACATTTCTGGGACTTGCCAAGACAGTGCGACTTTTTTAGAGAGAAATCTTAAGCATGGGATAATTCCCTGGAGGTGAGAGCAGTGTAGGTGGCCTTGCTAAAAAAAAAAAAAAAAAGAAAAAAGTTTCTGTGTTTGTTTTTCCTTGATTGTGCTTTATTTTTAAATTAGAATGATTTAGTTCCAATTTCCTTCGTAGCTCCAAATGGTCTGTCTCAGAGTATATGCCAGTGGTTCTGATTACCAGTAGTTGTTCAGGCTGGAAGTCATTTGGTCCCTCTGCCTGCCTCCTGGTGGGACTGTGGGAGATTGGGATTCCTCAGGGGTGGGCAGTCTGAGGGGTGATTCTTGAGCCCTCTGGCTGGCTCTCTCTCCCAGTCCTTTCTTTCTGTCCTGCTGCAGTCTTCTGAGGTTGTCTGATATTTTACCTCCAGCGATAGCTGCCCATTTCATGCTGCTGAGACACTGCCCTTCCAGTGCAGATGAATCTTCCTCTCTGATTTCTCCATATCAGTGCTCAGTCTTTGCCATTGTGAGAGACGAACTGCTTGTCACTGTGTGTGTGTATATTAGTATGTGCTTGAAGTAGAGTGGCAGTGAGGTGAAAAATAAGAGGGAAATACATAGTTTTTAGGAACTTCATACCATTTCAGAGATCTTGTCTCCTGTTTTTATGGAAACATAAAGAAAAAGTGCTTTGCACACTGATGCGGTTTTTACAATGCCTTTTGACATGCCTTATCTCATATAATTTTGCAGCAGTACTGTGAGTTATTGTGTCCTCTGCATTGGTTTATAGCTGAGACTTGCATTGCTGGCCTCAGGACTCTGCTCATTACATCATTTTACCCTTGGAGGTTATAGGATCGAATATGGCAATCCATGATTCTTTCCCAACATGTCTTCTAAGACAGCACATTTTTATCCTGGTATTTGCCCTGCACTATCATTTCTGTTCATGTGAAATTTCTGGGTGGTATGGATATCTGGTTCTCTGGGGAACCAGAGCCCTCCTGCTAATGTCTCTAGGGGAGGAATCCTAGGTCACCTCCTCTCTTGGGCACAAACTATGTGTATGTCCACTTTACATTTATTTAGAGCTGAGGCTTTCCACCTACTCTATTCTCCATGTGGGCTCACATGTCCCCTGGCTCCCTGGGTAAGAAAGGCCTTTTCCATTTGGCCCTAAAGATTCTTGTTCTGAAGTTAAGACCACTCCACCCTAAGCTTCTAAGCATTCTCTTATTCTTTTCAGAAGTCTCTAAGTTCAGTGAACTATCAATCCTTCCCACATTCTTGATTGTGTTTTACTCATTAGATGCCCATTGAGGGAGTCTTCCTTTATTAAAACTCATTTTTGTTTTCAACACACATTAACTAAGCACTAGTAAATATGGTAGGGTTTCTGTCCCTACCATAATTCAGGGGAAAGCAATTACGCAATAATTTATAATTCAAGAGAAAACAATTATGCAATAATTATAGTTCAGGAGGTTAAATTAATAAAATGAGACCTAAACAAATTTCTCTGGGAGCATAGAGCAGGAAATATTTAATTATACCCAGGGGAAAGAGGTTTAGGAAAATAGCGTAGGAGAGAGAGAGACAGTTAACCAGGATGTGAAAGATGAGTAAGATTTTGCTCAGTGGAAGCTGAGGAGGGAGGCCTGGAAGGATCTTGACAATGGGACAAGAAGTACAAAAGATGAAAAGACACAGAGGTATGGGGATCAATGCTCCTTTATGAAACACTATGTAGTCTAAAACTGCTGAGTCACAGGGGTCATGTTGGGGAGTAGTAAGAAAGAAACCTAGGACCGGATACTGAAGTACAGACCTTTTACCCCAGCCTGGCAGTTCAGTCTTTATTTTAGAATCAATTTGCAGATTTCAAAGGATTTTTTTTAAAACAATATTCAGTGACCTGCTTTCTTTTGGTTAGATTATTGGGATTGTACAGATGGAAAAGTTTGCACGAGAGTCATGGCAATCAGAATCAGAGTGTCTAGCTTGTGTGACAGTTTTGGCCACCATAACAGGAAAAGGAAACACTGGAGGCTAAAAAGTTAACAAAAATAGATAGGGTTTTCTGCACACTTACGATGTGCCTGGCACTGTGTTTTATGCTTCACATTCAACATCTCATTTGATCCTCACTTCAACCTCTATTAGGCAGTGACTGTTATCCTCATATTAAAGGTAATAAAACTGAGGCTTAGAAAGGTTAACTGATTTGCCCTAGATTACACACCTAAGGAAGTCCTTGACTGGGATTTGAAAGATTGACTTCGTAACTCATATTCTTAACAGCTATGTAACGCTGCCTCTGGAAGATTTGTTTTTGGACAGGGAGAGTTGAATGTCTCTGTGAGATAGACAGGCAAGTCCTTTGGTAAGACTTTGGGATTATGAATTTGGATCACAAATGATAATTCAGGGCTTGCCAAATAGATTTGGGAATCAACAGGTTATACATAAAATGGGTTTACTGAAGGGAATGAGATTTCCTAAGAAGAGGGATACAGAACAAGAACAGTGAGGATAAGATTCTGAGAGCATTGTTATTTAGAAGTATGTTTAATGGTCAAGCAGAGGAGGCTGAAGGTCCAGAAAGGAGACCAAGAACTAGTGATCAGAGAGAGATGAGGAGAAGTAGCAGGAAGAGGGAGACATTTCAAGAAGGAGGGAACTGCTCACAGTGTCATATGCTACAGAGAGGTCAGTACAGAAGACTTAAGTGACATTGATGGCTTTGGCCTATTGCCTGAAATTCTAGGTTAAATATGACTCCTTATACCTTCTTTTTCCAGCAGTTTGAATTAAATTCAGTCATTGTGTTCTAAATCCCATGCTCCTAGTGATTTCCCCTTTGTGTCTGGTCTGAGAGAACCTGTAGGTGACAACTTAATGGTAGAATAAAGTGTATTGACACATCTTGAACCCCAGTGACTGGTGCAAGCCCTTCCTGCTGGTGGCCATGAACACTCAGTTCTTCTCTGGTTCCCCAGGCAGAAAGGCCCTACCCCATGGCCAGAGGGCCTATCTTATATATCTACCTTTGCTTTTTTAATTCCCAAGACAAAATTATCTTAAATATACCCTAAAGTAAATGGCACTATTTCCATAGCTTGCTCCCAAACTGTAGCTGAATGTGTATGTGTAATGCGTGTATGTATACACATACATATTAAATCTATACAATTCGCATAATCTAATAAAGATGAGCAACATGTGAATATTTGTGGATGCTAGAAAGGAAAGGAGGAAGTTATCTAACTCTGTAACTAAGGGGTTCCCAACCCCTGGAGCCAGGGACTGGTACCAGTCAGTGGCCTGTTAGGAGCAAGGCAGCCCAGCAGGAGGTGAGCAGTGGGCAAGTGAGCGAAGCTTTGCATTACTGCCTGAGCTCTGCCTTCTGTCTCCTCTCCTCCTGCCCCACCCCCCACTCTCTGTGGAAAAATTGTCTTCCACAAAGCCTGGTCCCTGGTGCCAAACAAGTTGGGGACCACTGCTCTGTTTCAACTGAGAGAGATGATCTGAGCAAACTCAGACCTGACATTTTTCACCTCAGCAATTTCTAGTTTCATCCATCACTTTTGTAGCCAGGGGTGGGATTAGTAAGTAGAGCTGGTAAATTTTTATCTGGGGCTTGAGTTTTGAAGGATGGTTAGGTTGAATTTAGAATAGAATCAGGGTTTGGATAGACAATGAAGTTAGAGTCTGAGTCAGAGAATAGGGCATCAGCATGGAGGGGGAGAAGTATGGTGTTGTGGTTCTGGAGGATCTGACAATAGCTCATCTTTGCATTTCAGCCTTTCCTGGCCTGGCATTGGTTGGTTCGTTGCAGCTCAGCTTCTTCACTATGGTGGGCCCTGATGGCAATGAATCCAGTGCCACATATTTTGTTCTAATAGGCCTCCCTGGCTTGGAAGAAGCTCAGTTCTGGTTGGCCTTCCCATTGTGCTCCCTTTATCTCATTGCTGTGCTAGGTAACTTGACAATCATCTACATTGTGTGGGTGGAGCACAGCCTACATGAACCCATGTATATTTTCCTTTGCATGCTTTCTAGCCTTGATGTCCTCACCTCCACTTCATCCATGCCCAAAATGCTGGCCATCTTCTGGTTCAATTCTACTATCATCCAATTTGATGCTTGTCTGCTGCAGATGTTTGCTATCCACTCCTTATCTGGCATGGAGTCCACGGTATTGCTGGCCATGGCCTTTGACCGCTATGTGGCAATCTGCCACCCACTACATCATGCAACTGTGCTAACATTGCCACGTGTTACCAAGATTGGCGTGGCTGCTGTGCTACGTGGTGCTGCACTTATGGCACCCCTGCCTATCTTCATCAAACTGCTGCCTTTCTGCCGCTCCAATACCCTTTCCCATTCCTACTGCCTACACCAAGATGTCATGAAACTGGCCTGTGCTGACATCAGTGTTGATGTTATCTATGGCCTCATTGTCATCATCTCTGCCATTGGCCTGGATTCACTTCTCATCTCCTTATCATATCTGCTTATTCTCAAGACTGTGTTGGGCTTGACACGAGAAGCCCAGAAAAAGGCTTTTGGCACCTGTGTGTCTCATGTGTGTGCTGTTTTCATATTCTATGTGCCGTTCATTGGATTGTCTATGGTGCACCGCTTTGGCAAGCGGCATGATTCCCTCCTGCCGGTCATCATGGCCAACGTGTACCTGCTTATCCCTCCTGTGCTCAACCCTATTGTCTACGGAGTGAAGACAAAGGAGATCCGGCAGCGCATCCTTAATTTTTTCCATGTGAGGACCCACACTGTAGATACCTAGGTATCATTGATCAAAATTCTTATTCATTTGAAGTCCTTTAATTTAGATTTTTGGTATCAGCACTTTGGGAGACAGCATTAGGGAAAATTTTTTCTTAATAAAAGCACGACAGATCCTTCAGAGAAGAAACTGGTTGGAGCATCTCCATATGGATGGGGCAGCAGAGCCGTGTACTCCCAATCCCCATTTTTGAAAATAAGTTTTCCCTTTAGCCCTGGAGTGCCATTGGGATTGAGAGAAATAGAATGAAAGACAGAGAAAGACAGATCTTTTATTCCTATTAGGGAAGCAATGTGATTACTGTAAACAAAAATCTTAGGCACTCTGAACATATAAAAAAAGTAATGATATAGTGAAACTCCAATAAACTTGTCACCTGAAAAGAAAAAATATTGTTAGCATTTTGGTGTTTATTTTTTCAGATTTTTATTAAGTGTTTTTTTTGTACATGCTTCTGTATGGGCATATGATAAATGTTTGTATGTGTTTTATATTTGAAATCCTATTGGAGACACAGGCAGATTAATAATAAACAGATAAATCAGGGCTTCTGGCCAAGATGGAAGTGTAGGTAGATACAATGTGTCTCTTCACACAATCAAAATAAGGACAACAACAATTTAGAAACAAAAAACAACCAGTATTGACAGAAAATTGAATTGTATGGAAGTCCGACAACCGAGGAGTTAAAGTAGACATATTCATCTATACCAGTAGGAGGGGCAGAGTCAGGCGACCAAGCAGAGAGGGGTTGGGGCAAAGCGGTGGCTAGTGGGCCCTGGCATGCAAGACAGCAGGTGGAGGACCCAGGGAGGCTGTGGATTGTGGAGGGGCATGATGGGCAAGGTGGCTGTCTGACTGGGTGGTCCCACATTCACAAGTAGATAAACCAGGCAAAGCTGGGGAGTGAGACAGACCACGTAACCCAGGGTCCCAGCAAGGAGAAATAAAGCCTCAAAACACCAATTGAAAAACACCTGTGGGGATTGAGGTGCCAGGAGACACTCCCAGACTCACAAGAGAGTTTATTGGAGATACCCACAGGGCCCTAGAATGTACATAAGCCCACCCACATGCGAATCAGCACCCAATTTGAATTTGCACCCACATGTGAATCAGAAGGGCCCAATTTGCTTGTGGGAAGTGGGAGAAGTGACTGAAATCTGGCAGAGAGTGGAGCAAGTGCCATTGTTCCCTCTCAGACCTCTGCCCCACATACAGGGTCACCACACAGCAAGGTAAGTTGCCCCCGCCCTCCATGAACACCTAGGCCTCTGCCCATCTCTATGTAACAGACATGTGAAGACAAAAAAAAAAATGGCCCAAATGAAAGAACAGATCAAAACTCTAGAACAAATACAATTAAGCAATAAAGAGGTAGCCAACCTATCAGATGCATAGTTCAAAACATTGGTAATCAGGATGCTAACAAAATTGGTTGAATTTGGTTGCAAATTAGATGAGAAAATGAAGACTATGCTAAGTGAAATAAAGGAAAATGTACAGGGAACCAATAGTGATGGGAAGGAAACTGGCACTCAGATCAATGAAGTGGACCAGAAGGAAGAAAGAAACAATCAATCAGAAAAGAATGAAGAAGCAAAAATTCAAAAAAAATGAGGAGAGGCTTAGGAACCTCCAGGACATCTTTAAACGTTCCAACATCTGAATTATAGGGGTACCAGAAGGAGAAGAGGAAGAGCAACAAGTGGAAAAGTTATTTGAACAAATAATAAAGGAGAACTTCTCCAATCTGGCAAGGGAAATAGACTTCCAGGAAGTCCAGGAAGCTCAGAGAGTCTCAAAGAAGTTTGACCCCAGGAGGAACACACCAAGGCACATCATCATTATATAAGCCAAGATTAAAATGAAAGAGAGAATCTTAAGAGCAGCAAGACAAAAGGAGAGAGTTACCTACAAAGGAGTGCCCACAAGACTGTCAGCTGATTTTTCAAAAGAGACCTTACAGGCAAGAAGGAGCTGGAAAGAAGTATTCCAAGTCATGAAATCCAAAGACCTACATCCAAGATTGCTGTATCCATCAAAGCTTTCATTTCGAATGGAAGGGCAGATAAAGTGCTTTTCAGATAAGGTCAAATTAAAAGAGTTTATCTCACTAAGCCCTTATTATATGAAATGTTAAAAAGACTTATCTAAGAAAAAGAAGATAAAAAACTTGTACAGTAAAATGACGGCAAACTTACAAGTATAAACAACCACACCTAAAACAAAAACCAAAAACTAAGCAAACAACTATACCAGGAACAGAATCACACAAATGGAGATCACATGGAGGGTCAGCAACAGGGGAGTGGGAGGAAGAGAGAGGGGCAAAAGGTACAGAGAATAAGTAGCATAGATAGTAGGTAGAAAATAGATAGGGGGAGGGCAAGAATGTAGCAGCTAAAGAACTTATAAGCATGACACATGGACATGAACTAAAGCCGGGGAATGTGGGTGGGAGGGGGTGTGCAGGGTGGAGGGAAGTAAAGGGGGAAAATGGGACAACTGTAATAACATAATCAATAAAATACATTAAAAATAATAGTTGAACAACAATTAAAATAAAAAAATAAAATAAAAATAAAGAAAATAAAATAAAGAAAAAGAAAATGTTGAAATGAGAAAAAAGAAGAATTATTTTGGCACCTAGTAGGAATTTATTTTGGATATTCATATATTTCTACAACATCGAGTGGCTGAATCACTGACTTTTATGGGTCACCACAAAAAACAAAGATATAAAAACTATCACTCACATAAAAAATATGCTACATATATCCAGATAATTAATCTCAATTCCACTTGTGAAGAGAAAAAAGATAAATATTTCATGGTTAAAAAAAAATGAACAAACAGACACGTTTTACATATTTTTTTATAGAGATGCAGCCATTATTCTAGATTTTTAGAAGAAATTCTAGGTCCAAGGTAGTTAATAATGCTCAGGATAAAGTTTCATAGGTTTGATACCAGATGACTTAAACATTTTGTGAGTGTAAGTGTGAAAACACACACACACACACACACACACACACACACACACACACACTGAATCTGCTGGAAGGGCTTAAAGTGGAGGACAGGAATGAGAGGGAGAGACTACCTCTTTTAAGAAATTTGGCTGGAAGCTAGTGTAGGTTCAGGGCAAAGACCTTCATTATATGCCTTTTACACGAGCATCCTTCTACCTTTCTCATTTCCTTTTTATATTCCTGTCTCTGGTCATAACATCTCAGCCTTCAACCTTTTTTGAGTTCTGAGGAAGTATGAATAATATTAAATCTGTATAGGAGCCACTTGTTCCTTTTTGTAGGTTCTACCTAGAAATACTTTATAAACATGTCTCATGTTCTCCATTCTAACTATCAGTGCTCTAGTCCACATACTCACTTTTTGCTTGGACGATTGCATACCTTCCACACTGGTCTCCTTGCCTTTCAACATCATTCATATCAGTCCTAAATCCCATATCAGCTTGAAGGAGTTTTTCGAAACACAGCCGATTATCTAACCTTCCTGTTTAAAATCCATTAAATATCTTTATTGCCTTGTATATAGAGCCCAACCCTCTTAGAATGTAAGTAGGCTCCTCCTTTACTCTTCTATACCTATTTCCATCTTACTTTTCCAGTAAATATTTTGAATATTTCCGTATACTATGTTATTCAGCTACCATGTAATACTTGCTATTTCTTAATGATTTTATATGCTTCTAAGGCCTCTTTTTCTTGCCTGAATTGCCTTTTGCCATTTTATTTTAATAATATCTCATACAATGAAGCTCTTTATGATTTGCCAAAGCCAAAGCTAAATACAAACAAACAAAACAAAACATACAATCCCCAAACAAAACTCTCCTCAGTGTTCCCAGATCTCTTGGCATACAATTAAAAAAAAAAAACTGAACCATTTCAAGTTCAGAAAAGTTTGTGAGACTTTTGAGCTATATCTATTCAAGTTAGTGAGGTAAATTATATCACTCCTTTAACTGAGATAAGACTCCTTTGGATACAATCAATAGACATGCATGTGGAGTGTTATATCCTTCTACTATGTCTGCCATTCTTCAGCTAGGCAGACTTGAATTTGGGAAAGGGCCATATTATACCATTGGCTTACAATTTCAGAGTTGATGTTCACTGTTTGTTTTTTAAAAGAGGTACTCTCAAACTTTTTCTTGTCTATTCTCCTGGCATCTCATAACTTTTTCTATTACTCTTTCTTGATCCAAAGGAAATGAAGCTGATACAGAATCAGATTACAGTCTTCCCTTTCCACTCCTAAGGAAGTCAACAGTGATGCAGGGCTTTTAACTCAAAGAAAGTTGAAGAATAATGGTATGGAGAACCTGGGGGATACCTAAAATAGGGACATAGAAGAGGATGCAATTTTTAATATCAGACTTCACCATGGAAACCCACAAGCAAGGGACATGCCTGAGTGAACTTACAGGAAGAGCTGAGGCAGATGGCACCATATTACTGTGTCACTATCAGCATCGCCTGATGAGCACATTTGTTTAGCCACTATTTAATGAACATTTATGGAAAGATATAATAAGATAAGACATTGTGTTGGAGGAGGCTAGGGTTACAGAGAAGAATAAGGCAAAAACCCCAACCGTAGGGAGCTTTAAGTCAGTACATATTCTCCAGCACAACGATCTTCAACGGGTGCGCTGCAAACAGCACACTGGCATGCCACAAGGGTTTTTCAACATGTGACACCTGACTATTTAGTCAGAGGTACTGACCTCTTTTCCCTGTGATTGTTAAACTAAAAATATGAAAACAGCTAACACAACAATAGCCACCTGGTGTGAATGAATCAAAATTGTTTTTTGGTGTGCTGCAGAATTCCAACCATTAGTTTATTTGTGCCACGAGATGAAAAAGGTTGAAAATTGCTGTTCTAGCATATAACCGCAAGAGCTTGAATCCTGACCCCAAAGCATCCTTTCTTTATTTCTGCTACTGAAGTTGCAGGTTGGGATTGGG